TCTCAACCCTTCACAAAGCTTTTTTTGTTAATAAGAAAGTTGAAGTAGTTCAGATTCCCCTTTTCCAACAGATAATCTGTCTAAGTTGTTTTACCCTAAATATGTCACCAGTTGCTGTGCTGACTCAGATGGGATGCTTCTCCCACCTCTTCTGGAACGTTGCACTAATCTAGGGTAAAAGGGAGTCATTGTCACCACTGAATCACTGGTTTCTACTTTGTTCCTTATTTTCCTTTTAATTCTTCTTCATCATCAAAGTGAGATTTGTTTTTACTGCAGACTTCCTTTCCCTTGACTGGACTGATCTCCTTTCAAAAATAATCCACTATCCAATAACAAATGTTATGTGTACCTCATCCATCTCTGTCACATCAAGCCAGCCTAACAAGACACAAAGAAACAAATCTCCCTTTCAGAAGGGTGCAGCTGATGGTTTCACATAGTTCACTGTTCAAACGAACACACTAATTTTAATGTTCTTCCAGGTGAGAAAACGTTGAGCAAGTATTAGCACACAGAGACAGAAACTGCGTAGCAGTGATTCCAGCAGGGCTGTTGCTCATGGGCTAATATTTTAGGTTATAATCCTAGAATGAATTATTTTCAGCATCTAACCTAACGCTTCGTGTTTGAACTAAGTCTATGGAACTGCTCAGAGGTGTTTGGGGGTTTTGTTACACGCAAGCAAAATTAGGCACTGCAAATGGGGATCTGTGCAGTTGTCTCCAGCTGAAGCCAAGTTAGCCCACCACAGAAAGCTTTTGAAACTAGTTCGAAGAGGTATCACAGTCCACTTGGAAATGCAGTAGTCTTTAAAAGTGCTACTCTCTTTCAACTGCCTGAGTACCCTCAGCAATGAAAGCTTTCTGCAACTTCATCTGCGGGGAGCTTAGTCACTTGTTGAAGCTGCTGAAGCAACACCTAAATCATTCTAGATCTGAGCCATGGGGAATAACGCTGGATTTTATCTCAACTCTGCATTTCCTTGGTTTTGTGAGTTCAAACGGTGCTGAGGGCATTTCAAAGTTATGTGTGGTGATGGGGTGGATGTGGTTTGCTGTGTAATACATTGAGAGGGAGCCCATGTGTTCCATCACCAAGTAGAAAAGACTCAGTCATGCTCCAGCCTCTTCCTTAGAAACTGGTCCAAGTAAATGCTTCAAGAGGTTGAAGCAGAAGCTCCTGAAAAACAAAAGGAATTGGACTGTAGTCATTTGGTCCATTTCTCATCTCTGTTGCCTTTAACTGTAGCAGAGTTTCAGACTTCAGCAACAGATTTTAATTTGAACTTTTTGCCAGCTTTATATTTTCTTATGCAATTTACTTTTTAAAATTAAGAGCACATGTTTTCCTTCCAAATAACATGAAGTACATTTATTGGCATTTTAAATAGGCCAAAGTGAGTGAGCAACCTTCTTTTTTTTTTCTTTCAAGTCTATTTTTTCCCTACAGGCAAATTGCTGTGGGCTTTTGACCCGCCCTTTTTATGACACTATTTCAGCACAGATATTCTTAGTTAGAATTCTAAGTTATTCCTTTGAAACAGAAATAGAAATCATCATCTCAGCTAGCAGTTTCTTCATCTATAGGACTGTCATACGTGCCACGTAGCATACATGCAAGTATGCCATGTACATTCATGTGAAATCTCTACCTCTCACACAGCGGACTTTACATGCTTGTATTTTGGTTCCATTTGGGATATTCTGTAAGCTAGTGTTTTCTTTCTCTGTTTTCTTTTAAATCATTTTACAAAATGCTTTCTTGTTTGAGATGTGCTGTTTTGGCATGGCCATCCTTCTGCGTCCTTTGCAAAAGAGATATGGATCTCTCATTTCATTTACTCAAACCCATACCACTGAAAAAAAGGCTTTAACCCTGATTCCTAAATCCAGCAAGTAGCAATACTATTTTGAACCTACTATATACTGTGAAATCTTTATTTCTTATGTTTAAACCTTCCATTTAGCACAATAGTTATTTGCTCTGGTGGAGTGTTGAAGTTGTTGTGTATGTCTCACAGGAGCTCTTGCACCCAAGTTATTGTTTGGAGCATGCAATTTGGTCAGCACAATTCACAAACAGATATAAGCAGCTATAAAATTGCTCTAAAGTTTTATATTTCATGGATTTTCCACAACAGAAAATTGTCATTTTTAAAATTTTTCCTGCTAATACTAATTTGCCCACATCTAAGCCTAATAATACTTTATGAGACCTGGCATGTGGAATAGCAGAGTCTTAGTGATGGAAAGTTTGGGCTTCATTTCTTTTAGTAGTTTTAAGATGCCCATGTCACTGAAAGTTGTCTTATGCAGCAAGTTGGTCATTCGTAAGCTGCTTCTGCCAGTGACTTTGTTTATGGGTTTAAAAAAAAAAATATCTAGCTGTGAAAACTAGCCTTATTTTAAGGTAATAGACAAGAACTGTGCCTGTGATCCCCAGCATAAGCTTTTCCCAGTCACTTTGGAGAGATTAGATGTCTCTTAACATCATCTTACTAGCAGTGAAGTTGCTCCAAAAGGACTCCCTTAATCATATTAGTTTCGCTGCCATCACCCTGTCTTCAGATTCTTTCTTCTTTCCTAATAGAACCAAATCTGCTTTTGCCATCTATTAGGTCCAACATTAATGCTCTTTTACATATTAATTACTATTACTTTACCTATAACATTCAGCCCTCTATCTTTTGGCTCCCCAGTTTTGAATCTGAAAGCTTGGCACTGTCACTGCCATGTGGCAGTAGAAAATGCTGCATTGTGCTGTTTGAATTTTCCTATGTCTTTGTATAAGAATTATTGAGTATAGAATGAAGTAAAGCAGAAGGAAATAACAGTTGACTCAGGAATTCACCCATTCTCTATCTTGGCTTGTAATATGATGTATGAATGTTTTTTTTCTTTTATTCTAAGAAGTGAGTCTTGGCGCTCTTTCTGAAATATTTTATCAAACTTTTTAGGAATCTTCTGAGCGATGTAATATCTTAAAGTTTCACTTATGGAAAAAATCAAGCTTTAGGAAGCTTTTTTTAAAAAATGTTTTTACAGTTACTGAAACATTTTGTTATGATCTTAAGGTGAATTATTTTTCTGAAAGAATTGTAGAAGCATATTGTAGATTATAATGATATACTGCAATGTGCTTTACATTTTAGTCAGTATAATTGCAAACTAAAGTGTATTTTGCATTTTAGACTGTTTGCAGATTTAGAAAAAATAAACGCATGGAGGAAAAGATCGGGAAAGAATCTAGTGTAGATCACACTATCTGAAGCATATGTTTGAAATAATGCTGATATAGGCTAAAGTATGTGGCCTGTGTTATAATTCTGTATAGAAATTATGTGCTCAGTCTGTGCATGCACGCACAAAGCTTTACCTTTGACATGCTAAGGAGTAATGCCAATGAGTAATTAAGCAAGCATGGAAACAAGTCAATCTTGTGATAAGTTTCTGAGACGGCTAATATTTAATACATGTTACAGCTGTGATAGTCTAAGGACACAAGGGAAGGTTTGAAAGGAGACATCATGTCTTTTATTATACCATATAGCTCAAATAGTTTTTAAAAAATCAGACTTTCAAGCCTCAGTTTTCTTGCAGATCACAGTAATTATAGTAGCAATCTCTCCTGGTACATTAATGTACAAGGCGTTATTTCTGATACAGTCATTAATTTCCCAACTTTGGTCAGAAATCAGTGTTCCTTTGTCAAAGATTTGTAGTAATGTGGTTCTCAGAGACTGCAAATAAATGGTTTAGCTGAATATAGATGCTGTAGGAAACATCTGAAGAACAGTTATAGTTGGAGAGAGCACTTCACAGCTCCAGAAGCAGTAACTGGCACTCCAAGGCAATGGGGTTTTTAAATATATGCTAATTGTAAAGCAGATTTTCTTATGAAACCTTTAATGAGCTTGATCTGAGTCACCTACATATGTTTGGTAGGATGTCGGTATTTTATCTCCGTGTCATCCTGTACATCCCAAGAATTCCAGGGAACTGCAGCGTTGCTCATGTGGCAGGAACAAAAAGGGGGAACTACTAAGTGAGGTTTTTAGTGAAAAGGCTTGTTTTCAGAACTGTGTTTATGAAAGAACATGTTTTTCAACTTCGTATGTTACAATTAGCTGGAAAGACAATGTTTTTGTCACATATGCAATGCACCTATATTTCTTTTGAAAAGCTACAGACAATGCAGTTAGAACAGTAACTAATGAGAGCTACATGCACGTGTAAATCTGAATGAATTAATACAATAGTAGTAGTGTATAGTCTGTACACTTCAAGAGTGTTACAGATTTACTGTGTGTCAGCTTCGTTCCTCGCACTTGGATGTTCCCAAGCTGACTCCCTGAGGCTCATCCTGCTCTGATGCCATGGCGCACAGTGCATTTTGCTCCCAAGGACTGGAGGATGGTCTGTGATCACATAAAAGAGAATCATGGATTCAGTAGTCTGTGTCTTCCATTTCGAAGGTTGTCTCATCTGTACCATGTTTGCAGAGTTGTAAGGGTTCTTTGTGGTGGCCAGTGTCATCCTTTCTTAGTGTGCGTTGGTGCTCTCACCCAAAGGAGCACTTTCTGTGACATGTTCCTTGTGCACATCAGCACATTGCAGTGAGATATGGTCTATAATCTGTAGCAGTGGTTGATAAATGATTGATGATATGCTCATGTCTCATTACAATGTGACAGGTGTATTCTTAAGGGAAAAAAAGGCGTTATATATAGTGACTATAGGCCACAAACTAAGTTATTTCTCTGATAGGGTCACCCCCTCCAGAAAGGTAAATCTCCTTGCTCTAGCTATGCCTTGGGCAGGACGGAGCTGTAGTCATCTCTGTGTATGCGGAGAAAGGGAAGAGCAATGAAAGAGGCAGAGGAAAGGGACAGGGAATCTGTCAAGTCAGCTTCCTACCATCCATAGGTGAAAGCCTGTCTGAGGGAAGTATTTTGTTGTTCGTTCTTGTTTTGTTACTTTGCTTCTTCTTCATTTCAGGTTATGTGTGAGTTGGAGAGCCAAATCCACAAGCTGAGGGAAGAGCTTATTCAGGTAAATGCTCAGCGCAAGCAACAGCTGATGGAGACGAGCCTTCGGTGGGAAGAGGAAAAGCAGAGGGCAGCTCGAGATCATGAGATGGTGGTGAATAAGCTGAAAGTGGAGGGAGAAAAAATGTTGCTTGACATGAAAAAGGTGCATGATGCAGAAACGCAGAAGGCCTTGGACAAGGTAAGAATCACACAGGGCTGCTTCTTGTGGCTCAGCAAAAGGGAAGTAATCACCTTAAAAGTCAGATAACCAAAGCTTTACAAGGCAAAATGTTTAGGGGGTCACTTGATTTGAAAACAAAAGGTAGTATGTTGTAGATCTGACATAGATGCTGCAATCATTGTATGAGAATGGAAATTCTGTGGCTCTGTAATGAAAGACCTCTCTTTGAAGATGCAATGGCAGCAATCACTGCTGTAGCTGTCTGCTGTGAGTGCTGCTGGGGCAGCACCTTCCAGCCGTGTTGCAAGCGGGATGGCCATGACCTTTAAAATCCAGATGATTTCAAAGGGAAACCCAGCTAAGGACTAGGCTAGTTGCTTTTCCTTTGTTGAACTAGGTAGAGCAGAAAGGGCGGTTCTGTCTAACCACACTTTCTCCCTCAAAATGAGGAAAAGTTCTTAAGGAGAAAAAACTCAGGCTAAAACTGCAAGGAAATTGGGTCTAGTGGCTAACAATGGCTGGTCTACTTTTGCCTGTGTGCATCAGATGAGCAAGTGCTGTGTGAAAGGTTTGAAAATAAAAATTAGCGTTTCAACTTCATCAAGGCTTCCCTCCCCATTCTGTTCAGCAGGGTCACCGCGTATCTCTGCTTCGACGCTGCGTTCGCAGCAGCTTCCTGACAAACCCCTTTCACTGGCTCCTTGTATAGAAATGTTTCTCCACATTAGGGATGGTATGAACTAAAACATGTTAGTTTTATTTCAAAGACTAAACTAAAAACGGCTGCTCAATATTGATGGTAGACTACGGGTGTGTATGTGAGCTGATAGCTGTTGAAGTATCTTTCATATGTGTTAATGTAATAAATGATACGTTTTATTGCCCAGTGATGTACAGTGGCACAAATTAACAATCTGCATATACTGTTTGAACAGCCTTTGTGAAAGTGACATTTCATTTACCTGCGTCAGGTTCTTGGTCTGTAATTTTAAACAGCATTTGGAGGATTATGTTGGAAATCAGCCAGCCTGAAGCCATTAAAATGGCTGTGATCAACAATTCAGAATCTTTTCTGAATGTAAGGAAAGCTCTGCTTGGCATAATTATTTAAAGCCAAGGTCACAGAAAGTATTTAAACCTTTGAAATTCATCATTAAAGGATTAATTTTAACTCAGGAAGACATTGTCATTTTTGCTTAAAAATGGAATTTGAATCTCAATTCTTTTCTTTCTTTGATCTTTTTTTACATGTGTAGTATAGCAAAAGAAAAGTTAACTTCTTTACATCCTCAAATTAAAGTTACAAATAATCCTTCATAGGGACATATCTTTAATAGACTTGAATTGTCATTTCTGTCAGAAATATTTTCATTTAATTTATTGGATTTTTCTATTTTTCCAAATAAAATTGCTAATTTTAAGCAATATTAACTGCTATTAAAAATTACGTTATTTTAACTTAGAGTACTTCTATTTTTTTTTTTTACCTCTAATCAGAAGAGCACATGTTGAGTAGAGAACAAGGAAAAAAAAATCTTTTGGAAAGTCTGTAAATGTGAAAAAATACCTTGCATTACCATCAAATCTCCCTCTACTGTTCTTCTTCGTTTCTGTCTTCCAAATGTAGAGCTGTGGAAATTGGCTACAAAGTCAAAGTAGCTTAAAGGGCAAACTCCATATAAAGGTCAAAAGTAACAGTTTCCATCAACTCAGTTTCAAATCTTGATCCTCTTAAAATCTGCAGAATTTTAATGGAGATTTTATTTGAAGGGGGATGATTAAAATACCTTAATTGCAGCATGAATCTTGAAACTTGTTTTTAAAACAAGTAAATCTCGTTCCCCTGAAATTTAGGACAATATGGGAGAAAGTTTTGTCCTCCAAACCGAATGCTTTTTGCCAAGTCTTTAAAGATTGTTTGAAAATCCAAGAGGAAGCTGAATTTCACTGTTTAGGCTTGGAAATAGTTGTATGGCTGTCCAGATTTTTCTGAAGGTCAGTCCATTCCCACATGAAGGATCTCATTCCTCAGTGATCTGTTTTGTGAGTAATACTGATTTCTGTGTGTATTTCTTTGTGAAATTGTGGACTGTTGTTCAAAAAAAAAAAAAAAAAAAGCTAAAATTTGAGTGAAAAGAAAAATTAAGATAAAGGTGGGTAAAAGAAAACACAGGATTTATATGGTATTGCCCTCCCCATAGCCCTTCTCCAGTGGGGATGGGAGGAAGGAGAATGGGCAGAAGAGATTAGAGAAATGGTTTGCATTGCAAGCACACTGGACATTTAAATATTTGTTGGTATTTGTAGACAGCTTTTCAATATTTAGGTAAACACAGTGTAATTTACTGAAGTCTTCACTTTAAAGTTGAGATTTTGAGCAACAGAGAAGATAGGACGTTGTTTATTGTAGTATTTTATTTGATTCATTTTGTTAGAGATTACAGCATGCAATGCCAGAAAGTTACTTAATAAAAATTGTACAGTAATGTTTTTGAACCTGTGATTCTAAAAGCAATTATCTTCTGACAGTTATTGCATCTCCCGATCAGTTGGGGAATGATAAGCGGGAAAATATTTAACAGGTTGCCAAATGACACCGTGTAACCCACACTATAGGAAAAATAAACATGTCATCTATCGCCGTGGAAAAAATAATAAAGGGAACAGTCCATAATTTTCCACTGACCCCTTCTCTTGTAGGCAGTATTTTCACTTAAATACCACTTTGTAAGAAAGTGAATGACAGCTGACGTAAATATGTGCATTTTCACTTTTGCTGAAGCTGCTTGGACAACCCAGAGGCACCTCTGAGATTGCTCCAGGCTGGACACCACCCCATGAGCGGTATGGTCCCTGAGAAGGTGATGAGGGCTCCATCTCACCAGGGCTGGGAAGACCTGGGGCTGGATTTCTGACCTCCTGCTCCCATTACTGAGCTGCATTACTGAAGATAGAGGTGTGTAGAAGGGTTGTAGGCATTCAGAGGTCTGATGCGCATTTTTCCTTGTCCCAAATGTCCTGTTCCCTCAGAGGGCTGGGGTGTAGACTCAGAAATGCAAAAGGGAGAACAGGGCAGGTAACTCCCTTCCATCACTCTGTCCTCCTTTTCCTGATCAGGGCCCTTACCACTGCCCCGGAGCCACAGATGTTATGTCGAAATAGGGCTGGGCTGGTGCAGAAGCAGCTCCGCATGCACTTCGTAGCTCGATACAGAAGAAGCTGTTCCAGCATGCAGCAGCAGTTCTTCCTTAGCCTTCTGCTAGGTTGGGTGCCACAGCCTCATCACCCATAATCGCCTTACTGCTCACCTTGTGAGTCGTAACGTGGCACCTGTATTGGCACACGGAGCCGCCTTATCAGATCGGGATAACAAGTGCTAGTGTGCTTAAGGTCAGATAAGCTCTGCTGGCCATAAATCAGACAAAATTCAAGGCGACAGCATGGAGCATTTGAAACTACTTATGTCCTTATGACTTCAGTACTTTCCTAATGTCTATTGTCTATCTTTTTACAAAAACGACTTGACAATTTCTCCAGAGTATTTCCTGTATATTAGTTAAGGAATCTTACATATTGCTTCAGAGAACACTTGTATTCAATCATAGTGACTTTGAGTTGCTTTTAAAGCTGTTAATATATAGATTTAGTTTGCTTGAATTTCATTACATGAGGTGATTATAGCATTTTCAGATAAGATGGTAATTTTTAGTATTTGAAGTCACGCCTCACTGATGAAATAAAACTCTTTAAGAAATGAATGTATTAGACATGGTGCTGCATTTCAGCGCTGCTAATGAGGAGTTTCAGCAGCAGGAGACAGGTGGGTTGTAGGCTGCATCAGCAGCGCGTGCAGCAGGACCACTCCTCAGCCAGGTGTGAGAGGCTCCCCAATGCTTATGGGCATTTTTAGGTTTGCCAGAAATCACCAAAAGAAAGAGACAAACTGCATTTCTAAGTGCGTGCAGATGTGAAGCTTGGCTAACGCGACTGTTTGTAACATTTGTCTGTGGTATTTTCTTGGCAAAGAAAACGAGCATTCAGAAAGCATGACCCTAGCAGATCAGTAGACATGCTAACAATGCTCAAAGGAAGCAACCTTGGAACGCTGAAAATACCTCATAAAAAAGCTCTCTGAGCAGTGTACATGAGTAAATTGGAGTGGGAGAAAAAGTTTTTTTTTCCCCTTTAGATAATTTTCAACATTCAGCTTTTTATTGACTTCTTTTCTGTAGTTAAATAGAGAGTTTTTGACTCATCCTGTTAATTCTTTATGTAGGTTCCAGGAACATCTAATTCTTTTTCAGTGCTGCTTTTCTTGTGGAGAAGTAATTTACATTCTTGTGTATTGACTGTTCTTAACACACATGATATTTGATTACAGGATGAAGCTGTAGTCAAAGAGAAAAAAAAAAAGGGGGGGGGGGGGGGGAATCAGCACTTTAGTTTCTGGACTGCGCATCTGATTTGTTGCAGTTGTGAAATGGCTCATTTTACAGAGATGGGACTCCAACATAGCATGCAACCTGGCCAGAGCTGTGCAAATCCCTCTGGTTGGTTTTAATGATGTCGCAGTTAGCTATACTCGGAGATTTCTGTTACTTCAAATAACATCTGACAGCTACAGTGTTTTCTAGTCTATACCTCTTACAATCACTCCACCTACATCTGTTGGGAAGTCCATATAAAACTGCAATGCCCGGGAAATTTGAAGTTACGGTTTACATTTGAAAGAATATGTATGTATGTGCGTGTGTATGTATATTTTTGAAAGAATACGTACAAATATACTCTGTCAGTGATTACTTCCCTGATTACGAACAACTATTCTGTATAATAATGTTGTAATATGATGTTTTTCTAGCAGGGACTTTTTCTGGAAAACAAAAAAATACAGATGGTGTTTTATGATTGGATGTTTATTTATTGAAGAACTTGTACTTGCATACAGTTTACAATTAAGGTACTGATAATGTGCCCTACAGACCATTCAGTCCTTCCTTTATCACCCAGCTTCATGA